TTAGGAATTACAATTCGATAAGCCCAGAAAACACAATTTTGCTCATAAGATAGTTCATTCTTCTTCCTAAAATATTGTTCCATATCTACATCTCTGCATTTGCTTGGCCAACCCTTAAGGATATACTCTTTAACTTTTTGTAGCACCTTATCTTTTTCAGTCTCTTTTTTTACTAACTCTAAATCTAACTGAATTTTGTTGCTTTCTTTAACATAGTTAAAATACACATCAGACTCTAACCATTTATTTTCACAGAAGATTTTGGACGGAAATCTTGAAAAGTAATCTGCTACATTTTGTGTTGATCTGATATGCTCAACCTGAAAATTGTAACCCGACAATGCTAACGCAATACGTTGTAATCTGTTTGCCGCCATCTGCGGTATACCTTTTTTAGGATTAAAAATATACTGTAAGGGTTTATTATCTGTCACAAGTATAAATTTACGTCCATACAGATATTGGTGAAACTTGGTAACACCAAACAAAATAGCTACTGCCTCCCTATCCAATTGAGAGTACTTTCTTTCTACTGGCTTCAAAATTCTTGAAGCGAATTCGATTGGCTTTTCAACACCGTCTGGCGCTACCTGTGAAAGTACTGCTCCCACGCCAATCGGACTTGCATCTACTGTTAACTTTGTTCCAAACTCCGGATTAAAATGTGTCAGACATTTATCCGCTATTACTAAATTCTTTAATTTATCTATTGCTTTAGAACATTCGTTTGTCCAGACAAACTGACTATCTCCCTTCATTAAGTCATACAATGGGGAAGCTATATTTGCCAGATTTGGTAAAAAGCGTCTATAAAAATTTATCATTCCCAAAAATGCTTGAAGCTCTTTCAGATTTTTTGGATAAGCAATATCTTTGATCATCCTAATTTTTTCAGGGTTAGTATGCAACCCCTCTTTATCGATAATATGACCTAAATATTCCACTTTTTTACAAAAAAAATTACACTTTTCTAGGGATAATGAAAACCCTGCATCTTGTAAAACACTTAACACTTGTTTTACTCGTTTAACGTGTTCAACTCTATTCCCTGCTGTGATCAGTATATCATCAATAAAAACAACTACTCCCTCAATTTTTAGCAACAAATTTTCCATAATTTTTTGGAAAATTGCCGGAGCGGATGCCAACCCGTAGACTAAACGTTTATATTGAAACAACCCTTTAGTTGTTGAAATGGTGGTAAATTTTCTTGAATCTTCATCCAACTCCATCTGTTGATATGCCATGGTAAGATCTAATTTAGTGAATTCATCACCTCCCTGTAACTTTGCAAATAATTCTTCAATACGTGGCAAAGGATATTTGTCCACAATTAGGACTGGATTTACTGTTACTTGCACGTCCACAACTCCCACAGGGTTTAATTCTACACCATTATAGGTCTTCAAAATTATATTAGTCTTCTTTAGTTGATTCATATTAAAAAATTTTTTAAAATCATTTAATGAAAAAATACTAAACTGCGAACCCGTGTCCAGTTGCATACAAAACTCTCGATTTTCCACATTCACATTTATATAAATTGGATCGTCAATTTGTTTTTCTTTATTCACCAACGGAAAAAAATTTGATTCAAAAAAATTAAAATCTTTTCTATTTAGCAAACACATTTTTTTAAATGCCCTTTCCTATTGCATTTTTTGCATTTATAATCTTTATATTTACATACACTGCTTTTATGGTTATTATACCCACACACTTCGCACTTTTTTACTTCTTCTTTTTGCATCTGCTGTCTCTCATTATCATGCTGCCATTTCTCACTGCGCTGCTGACCATGTCGTCGCTGCGGCTGCGCTGCACTGTATCGCCCGTTATTTGATGTGTTGTTTCGCATGTAAAATATTTCCTCTTTAACTGCTGCTTCTAACGGCTGTTGGCTATATTCCGCTGCTTTCGCCATTTGTACCGCTTTTTCAAAAGTTAATGTTTCTACTGACTCTAACATTAACTTGTCCTTGACTATACTTCTTTCAAGGCCCATTATAAACTTATCTCTTAACGCCATTTCAAGGTGTTCACCGAAATTGCATTGTGTAGCTAAATTTCGCAGTTTTATTGCCCAATCGTTTACCGATTCTTGTTGCTGTTTACTGGCGCCATAAAATCTGCACCTCTCAGCAAAACCAATTGTCACTGGCTTGAAATGTGCTTTCAATACCTTTACACATTGTTCATAAGTGACTTCTACTGCGTCCACCAATTTTGGACTCAATAGATTCTGTAACAGCATAAAACTCCTCTCCTCCAATGACGTAACCAGCATTGCTTTTTTTTGAATTTCGTTTGTCACTTGGTTGCAGATCAAGAACTGCTGCAACTTCGACTTATAAATACTCCACGAACCATTTTCGTGGTCAAAACTAGGTAATTTACCCAAAATTTGATTTTTTTCCACTGTGGCCATTTTTACTGGATTTTGTTTTTTTTCTCCTCGTCGCCACTATAATGTTCTTGTTTCACTGAGACTTAACGACTAAATTTACATTTTATCACTTACTACTAAGAGAGATGAGTATTGACCATAATAAGGTTACCCTATAACATATTTTAGATTAAGGTGACCATATTACAAATATGAATAGAATAATTTCTTTTACAAATCGGACAGATTTTGACAAAAAATTATCTCTGATTGGGTTGAAAATTTTTTATGAGCTTCTTTCATTAAATAGGAAGATTGGTATATCTGAAAAAAATGTTGAAATTTTTTTCTTGTAGATATAAACCCATGGGGTTTTGACAATTATGTACGTGACATGATTTGATTAGGAAATATAGTTTCAATATGAATAGAATAATTTCTATTACAAATCGGACAGATTTTGACAAAAAATTATTTCTGATTTGGTTGAAATTTTTTTTATGAGCTTCTTTTATTAAATAGGAAGATTCGTATATCTGAAAAAAATGTTGAAATTTTTTTTCTTAGAGATATACACCCACAGGGTTTTGACAATTAGCATTGTTGACGCATTTTTAAACGACCATATCTCAGAATCTATAAATAATAGAAATTTGAAATTTATTGCGTTCAGAAGATAATTGATTAAATTTGAATAAATAGTTTAAAAACTAAGGTTGCTTATATTTAAATACTAATATTGACCATTAAATTAAAAAAAAAATTATCCAAATGTGTTCCGTAAATTTTCATTTTTTATATTTTATTTAGATACAATGTTTAATTTTACTAAAAAATCAAAATTTACAGGATGACATTATTTTTTGAAATTTTAAAAAAATATTTTTATCTTCTCGACTAGGATATAAACCATGGAGCGAATATCAGAATATTGAAACACATAGTGCGAGTATTTTGATACCAATACTCACTTGAGAAATATATAATATTTTTGATTTATTTAATTTATGTGCTTTAAAAAGAACCATACAAAACTGGTATTTAGGTTGAAACTGTCTTAATATTTTCTCTTGATAAATACAAAAATAATGTTTTTATTCTTTAAATTTTTATAGTATTTTATAAATACTCTACTAATTTGTTTATCTCTAGAACTCATACATATATACATTTAATAGAGATTATTTAATAATAATCTTAGCGATTTTATATAACATTGATATGTACGCTGTTCGAAAAATTCTTGACTGCAACTAAAAACGTTCTATTCAATAAATTTAATAAAATGCACTAAAACTGAATTGGCTGATCCTTTTATGCAATATATGGTAGAGAAATAACATTTTCAGATAATCTTAACTTAAAACCAAATATCTTTTTTAATATAAGTATGATTATATA